GAGGCTGGTAACTTTGCACAGAACTCTCTCAAACCAACGTCAATTGCAAGTCATGTCATCATCTCCCTGATGTCATGGTCCTCTTCAAGAACAAAGGACAAACCACAACCTATGAGTAGTCTGAGCTGCCTGAATAGGGACCCAGCTGGTCAGTTCTAGTTGGGCAATTCAGCTCATCTTCTCTCCTCTCCTCTCCTCTCCTCTCCTCTCCTCTCCTCTCCTCTCCTCTCCTCTCCTCTCCTCTCCTCTCCTCTCCTCTCCTCCGTTCCCCCCACCCCCCTTCCTTTCCCTTCCGTCCCTCTTCCTCTCTCCCCACCTTCCACCCCACCACTTACCTGAGGGTGTTCAGCCCAAAGGAAGGTAAATTTTCATGGCTGAAAGCTACCTAATTAACTTGTGGTTTACTGGCTAGATTTCTTTCTCAAAGACCAAGGCTTAAACCCAATTCGCTTCTGATCTCATGCATTAGACAACAATAGGCCTCTGCCCAAGCACCACTAGGCGCCCTCCTAGTTCAGGAAGGTAAATAGAAATGCAGGAAGACTGACGGATTACTCTTCAAAACTTGCCTTGATTCTGATTCTGGCCTTCAAGACCTCTGATAGGCTTATATTCTATCCCGTGTTGTTCTCCGTGCCTGGAATTCACTCCCTCATTCTTTCTCCTTCAGTGAATCCATAGCTTAGCTCAGGGCTCATCCCAGTTGCCACCTTCTTCTTGAGTACCTTCCTGATCTTTCCACCCCCTCCCCCAAATTACCTTCTATTCGTTTTTTATTTACTCATGGGGGTCTTTTCTCCTATCTTCCTGCTCCTGGACCCCCAGGCCTGTTAGATTTTTATCATCTTTGTGCCCCCACAATACTCTTCCCCTCCCAGCTTGATTTATTTATTTATTTTATTAAAGGTGTCATCCTCTTTTTTTGTGAGGCACTCAGGGTTAAGTGAATTGCCCAGGGTCACACAGCTAGTAAGTGTCAAATATCTGAGGCAGGATTTGAACTCAGGTCTTCCTGACTCCAAGGCCTGAGCTCTATCCATTGTGCCACCTAGCTGCCCTCCTTGACTCACTTTTTTTTTTTTTTTTTTTTTTTTTGGCTAGGCAATGGGGTTAAGTGACTTGCCTAGGGTCACACAGCTAAGTTATTGTGAGAATCAAATGAGATATTTGAAATAAAAAAAAGGGCTTAGTATAATGCCTGCCAGTAATATGCATTATAGAGATGCTTATTTCCTTCCTCTTCCCCACAATTAGAATATAAGCTCCTTGAAAGTAAGGATTGTTTCATTCTTTACATTTTTGTTCCCAGCACTTAGCACAGTACCTCACACATGGTAGCAGCTTAATAAATGCTTGGTCATCAATTCTCTCTGTCTGAGCAACAATGATCTTGCCTTCCTTCTGCCTCCAGCTCATGGACTGTATTATTAACTCTCACCTCTGAGAAAATGCT